ATCAATTTCAAACTCTATGGTGTATGATGTATCTAGAAGGAGAAGAATTGTAGTGCAAGTCAAATTACAGGTGGGACTACTAGGGTTGGCATGACCTTTTGGTTATCTCTGGACCATGTTCAGCCCATGGCCCATTTACAACTGCCAACCGCGTTTTGAGAGTTTCGAAGTGATAGAGATATGAGAGACCTAAAAAAATAAAAATTTGATTACTAGAAACTAAGAATCAATTATTTTAGTTAATTTTTTTGATTTTTTATAAAAAAGACATATAGGAAAATAAAAAATAATAATAATTTATTTTTTGATAGCGATTTTTTTGACTATTTTAGTATGTTTCTAAACTTATAAAGATTTTTTAGTATGTTTCCAAAATAATAATAATTTATAATCATAAGGATTTTTGAAGCACCCATGTTAATTCTTTGTTTAGCTTTAATTTTAGAATCAATTTTCTGAAACAGTTTTGAAAAAATAAAAATTAAATTGACAAAAATAAACATTGATAATATATTTTTAAATTTCAAAAATTATTTTCTCATCCCAAAAATGTAAACTATATGGAATAATAAATGTTTTACTAAGCTAGTTATAAATTTTTTTTTTTCAAAAATTTTTGAAAAACATATTCCGAAACTTAAACCAAATAGAATTGTTGTCATGGTGAGACTCCTGATTATATAACTTGAGTGGATTGAACAGACAATAATATGAAACAGGTCTCTAATAAACTCCAGTAAACTACTTAAACTCTTAAATTAAAATAGAGCCCTCGATACATATTTAGACCTGCAAAAAAAATGGTAATTACTTGCAGTTTTTTATTGTATTTTCTTGTACCTACACAAAGTTTGCTTGTATATATAAGTACTCAAATTTATTTACGTAGATTAAGAAATGAAAAAATTATTACAAGAATTCAAAAAGTCCATTTGAGCCACATTTGAGCCACAGAATTAGGGCCCCCAAACATTTTTCAATATGAAATAGGTCTCTAATAAACTCCAGTAAACTACTTAAACTCTTAAATTAAAATAGAGCCCTCGATACATATTTAGACCTGCAAAAAAAAAGGTAATTACTTGCAGTTTTTTATTGTATTTTCTTGTACCTACACAAAGTTTGCTTGTATATATAAGTACTCAAATTTATTTACGTAGATTAAGAAATGAAAAAATTATTACAAGAATTCAAAAAGTAAAATTCTAGTCTTGTTACTTTGTAGTTTAGCAAAATATGTTTTACCAAAAATAAATAAATTCACCAAACAAAAACTAAAGTATCATTTAAACATTATTTTTCTTGCATTTTTAGATACAAAATTACCAACTAAGCTTTCATAATTTAACTTATTTATCATATCATTTTCAATAAATAACACTCAATCTTTCTGGTGACATAGTTAATTAAAGTAAAATTTGATCAATTTCAACTTAAAAAAATAAAATAAAAATCCAAAAAGTAGTTAAAACAGGTGCAGTAATAATATTTTATAAACAATCCATGCTTTTAGAAAATAACATTCCATTATTTTCAAATAATTAACCACTTCAATTGACTTCTAATATATTTCAAGAAAATTTTATTTTTGTACTACTAATATTACAAGAGCTAAAATTATTTAAATCCTTATAGCCGACCTAAATCCTGCAACAATTAAGTGTTGGACCTACCATCCTTCTTACAAACATTGAGTTAAATGGTGCATTAAAAACCCTAATTTGTTTTTCCACAAAGATATATAACTATGGAAAATGTTGCTTCTATATGTTCCTTAGGTTGATAGCATTGAAACAGCTTGTACAACTATGAAAGAGACTCACCTCAAAATATGCAAAACCAGGTAGAAAATATAATTCCTTAAATTTTCTTTCTAATCACATCCATCCAAGAAACAAGCAAAGCAAGCATGCACACAAACATAGTAAAAATGACATGAGTTCAAATGCAATCTTTAATTGTACTACATTAGACCCACTTTGCACTTGTTCAATTTCAATGGTACCTATTTATCTATCTGTTTTCATTAAGATTGTTATTTTTTAAAATATTTTTTAGTATTTGTTAACAATTCTTTAAATAAGTATATAATTTTTATGATATATTTTCTTACAAAATTTATAATTATTACACGCTTCTTAATAAGTATTTTTACCGAAGTCGATAACAAAATGCAAAAACCAAAATGCCCTTGGAAGTCCAATAGCCATATTTCAAGTGACGAATTTTCACTTTTAAAACTCGTAGAAATAAATTGCAAAGGAGCATTCTCCCTTTCCTTTTCTTTTTTTAACAATTAATTTTAAATTTATTTTTTTTATTCACCTTCACTCATTTTCTTGCCATGATGTCTCTTGGGTAGTGAGTATTGCATTGATTGTGCTTTTGTATTTATTTTTCATATTTTTGAGATTAAAAATATTGAGAAAATCGAAAACACATTTTGTGCAAAAATAATTTTTGAATATAATTTTTTAGTATTTTTTTTTTTCAAAAACTTTTTTTGAAAAAAGTTTAGTGAACAAATTCTCTGTGTTTTTCAGATAACAAAACATGACGGCAAAAACATAGAGACAAAAATAGAACCAAATTGTAACCATACACATCTTTTTGGCTTTGTTTTGTTTTTTTTTGTTGTCATTTTACATATTTTAACATTGAAAACTTTGGAAACACCCAACTTTGTGCTGAAAAAATTCAAAACAAATTAAAATAAATCAATGTTCCATAAACAATTGGTTGTTTTCAACATATCTTTTTCTTGAAAATAATTTTTAAACAAATTAAAATAAATCAATGTTCCATAACAATTGGTTGTTTTCAACAAATCTTTTTCTTGAAAATAATTTCTAAAAATAGCTCACCAAACAAATTTACAAAAATAAATAAATAAATAAGAAAACAAAAACACAATCACACAAATAGAACTGTGCAAAATACCACTTAATCTGTTAAAATCACACCGATTTGCATCAATTCGCACCGTTCAATCTATTAAATTTTAAATTTTATAATCCGCCTTCGAAATTGTTCTGCTCCACTATATTTTTTAACCTCTAATAAAATATCAAAGTAAAAATGAGTGAGAAAGATTCAAGATAATTTGTTAGAAATTAATAGTTATATATATGAAAAATATTATGTAAAATTAATTTGTATTATATATATGAAAAATATTATGCAAATTAGTATTATTTATTATGCAAAATGTTTGATAATTGGTTATAATATTCTTCAATCTGCCAATCCGTCCAAAACCGTCTAAACCATGATTTGCTAATCTGCTATTCGATTTATAATTTTACTCTAAAACCACTCTAACCGCACAGTGCACAACCCTATACCCAAATGAACATGTTCGGTTACATCAAGAAAAGAAAATTTTGGCAATTTGTCATTAGAATAAAGGTGGGGGGCAGTTGAGACATAAAAACAGAAGGTAGCATATACATGAGGTTTCAGTGCATGGCATACGAGACATGAGGACGTGTTCCACCCACCATTTGAAACGATTGATCTCTCTCTCTCTCTCTCTCTCTCTCTCTCTCTCTCTCTCATATGTTGGAGGGTTGCAATAATAATTTCCCTTTTTGAGTTGTCTATTATATATATATATATATATAAGGTATTGACAAATTATTTTCTGAGTTGCTCCAAATTTGGTGGGGTTTTAGAATTAATCAAACCTCTCAAATGTGTGATTGAGCTCATTTTATCAACTTCCATCATTGTGGTCCTTGCAAGTTGCATATATGTTCAACTATATATATTTAATTGAAAGCATATGTAGATATATATATATATACACATTGTCTTGAGTTGAAAGACTAGTTGAAGGGATGGACCATATAGTTTTCAGAAAAAGAGGGGAAACTCGCTTCCTCGAAAACTTGTTTTCAGAACGGAGATAAAACTCTCATGAAGTTTTATGTGAAATTGTCAAAAAAGTTTTGTAGATGTTTCTTATACTCTAGCACAACACAATATACAGAACGGGCTGGCTTCCCTCCAGTGGAATGGAGAGTATTGTTAGGCCCGTGGTGAGCCCGCTACGGATCCCGTTTTGATAATCTGAATTGTTGAATGTGTAAAACTCGTTAAGTACTATATATTTGTAAAAAAAATCACATTGATTGGATATCGATAGCTATCTCATCGGATCAAATTTCTGTCAATCGTTTATTTTTTCACCGTCTATTTTTTTTTTATATCAAATTGATTTGGTTACATAGGTATCAATATCCGATCAACGTGATTTTTTACAAATATATAGTACTCGACGAGTTCTATACATTGAACAGTTCAGATTATCAAAACGAAATTCGTATTGAACTCTCATGGGCCCAACAATACCCTCCAGTCCGATCACGGACCGGAGGGAAGCCAGCCCCATTAAAAATCTTGTCAAAAACTCTTGAAAAATTATATGGAATCTCTTTCTTGCAAAACTTTTTTAATAAGTTTTTAAAGTATTCAATAGCATTAGTACTTGCATTGATTAAGAAAATATTCTAATATTTTTTTAAAAAATAAATATTGTATTTAATCTTATATCACCTCGTATTTTCTGTTTCCTATAATATTTTTGGATCACGTTTCATGTGTTTTTTTTTTCGGATACAATCACGTTTCATGTTCATGGAGTGGACAATGGACATTGGTACCCAATGTTCACATCTATTGGCCAATTACGACTTCTAAACTCAAGGCCTAATGCCCAATTTGTGAACCCATTAGTTAATTGGACTACCAGTGTGAGCTTGGGCTTATGCTGTTGGGTTTTGTGGAATAGGCCCAATTACAGACCATTGTTTTGGGCTTTCATCCAATTTACTCACTTTTTCTTTTTTTTTTAAGAAACAGTAACAGTCACCATTGCATTAAAATATTAAGTAGGAAGTTATTTACAGACCAAACCAAGTCATGCGCTGGCTTAATCATTGTTCGACTAACTTCTTTTCTTTTTTTTTTTTTTTTTTTTTCCTTTTTTTTTTTTTCGGGGTGTAAAATGAAGGCCAAAGCCAAGCAAACTAAACTAAAACAGAATTCGCAGATCCCATGAGCTGGGTATCTTGCCAGAGGAACTCGACAACTGAGGCGGCGCACTTCTAAGAATCTGGTTACAAGGACGAGTAGACAATGCCATTTTCGCAAAGAAAAAAACCTGCTACAAGACCATATATCAAAAAGGTCAGGTTTTATGACACAACACATCCACCAAAACCTGAGAGTCAGTATATATTGCAATGCTGGTCATTGAAGCAACTATTCACTCAATATATTTCAGAACACAAAAATCAATCACAGCACTCAACTGATAATTTTTTTAGTCCTATCAACAAATTTGATAAAAGTTTGTTCATTCAAATATACTATTGTGTTAGTTTTTGTATTCATAGCAAAATCACTACTTACTAATATATATACATACACACAGAAATAGATATAAAGTGGAACCAGCACGGGTTAAATTCAAGTTGACGTGTCAACTGTTCATTTGATGTCCATAAAAACCCTTCTAATAAATTTTGCACTTCTAAATAAAAGGCCTGAGGGAGTTTGGGGAGTTTTGTCATTATGATACATTCATTACAATCCATCCAATTTTGTCACTGTAATCACATTGGGATATCCCCAGCTGAAAAGTAATCCCTCTTTTTAATCTAGGTTTTGCTGACCTGTAGATTCTGAGTAACATTCCCTAAACTTGTGCAATGTGTCTCATAATATGTTTTGTGCTAGATAAAAGACACGATAGTTAAAACGATTGTGCTACCGTCCATGACCTATCACATGATCCACACAATTTCCTGGTATTGAGCAAGGGTCAACAGTACGAGTTCAAAACCATATCCTACAACTAACTACACCTACTTGCAGTTGGCTACACAAATTCATTTATTCCACATTCCCTGTTAGTTGTATTTGAACTCATATCCTAGTTAACTTTAAGACAATCATATATTTTCTTATCAACTAAATTCATGTTCTCTTTGGCCTTCCTCTATTTCTTTTACTACCCTTCCTTCACATGTATTAAATCACTTCTTAATTGGTCTCACTTTCTCATATTTTGTTTTCAGTTGATCTCTCCCTAATAGATATATTTATTATTATTTTTTCCTTCTAATACACCCTACTTATCCACATCAACATTTTCATTTAAGATACACTCATTTTTTTTGACATGTTTCTTAACTGACAACATTCAACAAAGCAGGTCTTATTGCAATCATATCAAAAAATTTCCTTCAATTTAATAGAAATATTATGATCACTTACACTTCTTCATTCATCCTTCCTTCCCTAATTTTATGGTCCACATCTTTCTCAATCTCTCTATATTTATGAATAATTGACCAAAGCGATCAAAAACAGTACTCCTTGCCCATAAGCTTTTACTCTATCTTCCTTTTTGTATATAGTTTTGCTGAGTTAATCTCCATATATTATGTGTGGTCCTACTAAACTTGAAACCTTTAAATTTTAAAGTATCTCTCCAAAATTCTAACTTATAGTTTACTCATGTTCACAACTAATAAACTAATAGTAACCTTATAGTTTACTTTATAGTTTACGACTAATCCTAAACCTAATTTCTCATTGTTATTCTAAGCCCTTAAAGTCATGCATCATCTGTTAACAGTAAAAGTCTATCCTTCAGCATAACTCCTTTATTGAAGTCACTTATCAAAATAATAATAGCAATACTAATAGTAATTCCTCTGCTGAACTCATTTGGTTTTACAACAGCCAGCAATGTTTCATTGCAAGGGAAGATAAAAACCTAGACTACACTTGCTTAATTCTTAATTATATAGGTATCATTTCTCATACCCACTGTCAAAATATAAACAGAGTGCCGCAAACAACAAATAAAGCTACAGTGTGCATGGCACATACAAAAGGATTATAGGTTCATGAACTAAGGATCTATTACAAACTAATGAACCAATCTGTTTGCAATATATGGAATTAACCAACAGCATTAGCACTTTTTGGTACATACCACCAGGGAGCACCGCAAGAAATAGCAAGATCATTGAAGTTTCCATGAATACCTTTCCCTCCCACCTCTCTCGATCATATAAGATTTTGTCTATGTATACATATCCATATGCAAATATATAACCCTTATGTGTAACATGTGTAGTTGTGTGTTATATGTATTGTAATGTAATTTAGTGCATTCAACTTCAACTGATATATGTAAAACAGAAATCGATATACGAATGTGAATATGTTTGGTTTGGTTGTTATATTTTCCTGATCAAAGAAACTGTTTCATTTGTCTCATTTTCTTCGTTGCATATAGTTTGTGTTTTGTTGTCTTCCATTTTCTTTCTTGGCTCTTGTTGTTTGGTGATGAGTATCTATAATTTGTTGAACATCTGAGTGGAACAGTAGTTCCAACCCTATTATGCACCATTTATATTCTGAATTCTAAAGAGAAGAAATGCAACAAATGCAATTCCATATATCATAAATTCAATTCAATTGATCCAAAGTAGTTGAATTTCTACTACAACAAGATCACCTACAAAAGCCATTCAATTCAATCAAACTACAGAAAAGAAAACAAACCCTATTTTCAGTTAACGAGGAGCCTTCTTCTTTCCAGCAATTGCAACCCGCTTGCCCTTCAAAGTCCGGCAATTGTTCTTCGTGCGCTGTCCTCTGCATGGCAGCCCCTGAATGTGCCTCACCCCTCTGTAGCATTGAATCTCCTTCAACCGCCTAATGTTAAGCGCATTGAACCGCCTCTGGAAACACCAAAACCACATCAATATTATAAACATCTTTTTCTATTATACAAAGGTTTAATTTCACTTTTATCTCCTAAACTATCATAATTTTTTCTATCTCATCCTAAACTATTAATTTAATCTATTTAATCACTCAAAATTCTGATTTCAGTTCATGTAGTCCAACTCATAACAGTTTTGAAACTTTATTTTTTTTATTTTTTATTTTCAAGAATGTTCATATTGTTATCTGCTAATGACTACTAACATTTTGTAAATTCAACCTCTCTTCCTCATTCATCGAATTACCAAAAAATTCATTAAATCACTAAAAAATTTAGATGTAAATTTGCCAAACAATGGAGTTTTAATATATGTATAAAGGAAGGGGCTTAGAGAGAGAGAGAGAGATTACGAGATCGCCTTCGACCATGTACTTGGAGACTTGGTCACGGAGAGAGATGAGTTCTTCTTCAGATAAGTCTTTCGTGATTTTGTTGTCCATGCTGAGGTCAACAAGGATTTGGCGAGAAGTGGTGCGGCCAATTCCATGGATGTAGCGGAGAGAGTATTCAATTCTCTTGTTGTTCGGAATCTCTACGCCTCCTACACGGACGCATTTGATGCTCAAACCACCGAACTGCAAGCAAGCAATCAACAGAAGAAACTGATATCAAAACGAATTCAAAGACTGAAACCTAACCTAAAGCCCTGTTTGGTTGCTGAGAAAAAGAAGGAACAGAAAAGAAAGTAAAGGAATTAACCTTGGGAGGAGTTGGAGAGGGGAAAGAGAGAGAATTGGGGATTCTGGTGGTGGTTGTGTTGCAGATGAGAGAGAGTGAAGCTGCGAGAGGTGTCGCTAGTGCTTGAGCCATTTCCTTTCGTTTCTGCTTTTTCTGGGACAGCAGAGAGAGAGAGAGAGAGAGAGAAAGAGAGAGTAGATGATGAAGGCTTATCCTCTGCTAAGGCTTCGTTTGGTTCAGCAAAATAAAAACAAATAAATAGTTTGAAATGTGATTTGTTGTATGTAATTTTGGAAATTAAATCATATTCTTGAAGTTTCTAATTTTATAATAAAATAATTTATTTTATTAATAAATTATAATAATTTTAATAATGTTAAAATTTTATTTTAATTAATAATTTAAGTAATTTATCATTGTATAGAAAAGTTGTTAGAAATTTTATAAATTCTGACAATAAACTATTTATAATTTTTTAAATCACAAGGAATAATTCATATTTTAAACAAATTTCAAATGATGTATTTATAGTTTATCCAAAAATAAAATGCTATGAATTATGAAACTGTATTCCATCATTATTTCGAAAGTGAGTGTGGTATAGATTTAAAATTAATGAAGTACAGGTCCCCTTGTATTAAGGCACTGTTTGGAAAGAAGGTTTATAGGCTTTTTTTTTTTACTATTTTAGTCATAAAAGACAAAATAGGCTATTTTATCCACAATCAAAAAAACATCACATTCAACCCATAATCATTATATTCTTCTCTCACAAAAAAAAGTCAAAAAAGTCAAAAAGTCATTCCCAAACCAAAAAAGCTAAAAAGTCTTTCCCAAACTAAACTTTTTTGCCCAGGCTAAAATAGTCAAAAAAGTCAAAAAGTCAACCCACTTCCTAAACCAACCCTAATTGTAGACTATTGATTTTTTTTTTTTTTAGTGATAATTTTTTAAAATTTTGTAATATTGTTGTAAAAAAAAAAAAATCACTTTTTGATTGTTTAAACAAAAAACCATTTTGATTGTTTCATTTTATTTTAGCTTTATTTAGATAACAATAAAAAAGGGTATTATACATCACCTAAAATTTTTAAAAATATATAATAAATTTTATAATTTTGACATAATTACACTATATTTTCATAAGATTTTAATTTGCATAACATTTAGTCTCATTTTTATCAATAATTTATTAATCATATAAATAAATAAAAATTAGATTACAAATACTCCCTGAGATTTGCTTAAAATACAGATTGACCCATGTGGTTTGAAAAATTACAAATACCCCCTATTATAACTTTTTATTTAACAAAATTAATTAAAAAAATAAAATTCATAATTGCTCTCATACACAATAATAAAATTACCTAAATTATTAATTGAAACATATTTTTAACATTATTAAAATTGTTAATTGACTTGATGATTTATTAATAAAAGAGACAATTTGTTATGAAATTAAAAATCTCAAGAGGTAAAATGTAATTTTTAAAACTGCAGAGGACGATTGGTATATTAATAAAACCTCAAGGAATGTATTTATAATTTATCCTAATATATATATATTTTACACTTATTTTTACTCGTTCATCCTTGTGCTCACCCATATATTCCATGAGATTTTTCTCAATTGATTCTAGGTCTTGATTCAATTATTTGATTTATTCTATAAAATCAACTTCATTATTTTTTATGTTTTGAGAGAATGTTGTTAGGGTAGTGATACATAACTCTAAAATAGTAACTCTAATGGGAGTTCTAATTAGGTAGAAAAGAAAGAGTAGAGAGAGGAGTATAAACTTCCATACGACGTAGACATTCTCCACATCATTAAAACTTTCAAATTAGAGCTCTCAAATATTATTGACCTAACTTTCAAAACCTGGAATTTAGATGCTCTGGGTGACACTATTTCTGATGAGGAAAAGGTAGCTATCCAAGCCATTCCTATAGCAGTGGAAGATAGAGACGATTGCCTGGTTTGGCATCACACCAACTCGGGGATTTACTCGGTAAAGTCTGGGTATGCTCTGGCCAGAACTATCAATGGTAAATCTTCAATTCGTGATCCTTTTTCTTCTACGGCCACTGTGGACAGTTTGTGGAAATCAGTGTGGCAAATAGTAGGAATGGCAATGGATAACCTACCTTGTGGGTATCTATGGAGACCCAACCCAAATACATGGGTTTTCTCCTCTTTTTCTTATCCATTGGGTAGGATAAGTGATATTCTTTAAATATCCATAAGGATGGGTTGGGGATGGGTACCCACTAATTTCTCCATATGTTTTTTTTTTTTATTTTTTATTTTTATTTTTTTAAGATTCACAACCAAAACTAAATATACATTCAATCTTTTTTCTTTTTTTTATTTATTTATTTTTTCAGGTTCACAACCATTTTTTTTTTTTTAGAGACGATTGCCTGGTTTGGCATCACACCAACTCGGGGATTTACTCGGTAAAGTCTGGGTATGCTCTGGCCAGAACTATCAATGGTAAATCTTCAATTCGTGATCCTTTTTCTTCTACGGCCACTGTGGACAGTTTGTGGAAATCAGTGTAGCAAATAGATACCCCGCCCAAGATCCGTCACTTTTGGTGGAGAGCTTGTAACAACGCTTTAGCAACCAAGGCGGGCCTCTATAAACGCAAATGCAGTGCTTCAATGCTTTGCTCCATGTGCCAATCCGAGATTGAAACTGTGGAACATCTACTTTTTGACTACCCTTGGACTAAAGCGGTTTGGTTTGGTAGTGATATCAATTTAAGAGTGGAGAAATGATCCATCCCTAATGTGGTTTCATTAATTGCGTCAGGTCTGCCCAAAGATGCAACGATGTAACTTCTCAGCAGAGTGGCGACCATAGGTTGGTATATTTGGAAATCTCGGAATGAATTCATCTTCAACCATATTCCTGTGGACCCCTCGGCGACCCTCCAACGTATTGCTCATGAATGGGCCGAACGAGATCTTCTGTTTCGGCCTTCTCAAAATTCAGTCTCGCCTCTTGAATCACCATCACCCGAACCGCCTTCGGCTTGGTCCCCACCTGCTCAAGGCTATTTTAAAATTAATTGTGATACCGCCTTTTGCCACAGGACCTCCAAGGTTGCTCTTGCAGCAATCCTCAGGGATTCCAATGGCCGTTTCATTGATGGCAATGCTAGGACTCTAGGTGCCTCCTCAGCCCTTCTTGCTGAAGCTCTTGCGGCCTGCAGGGCTTGCCTTATGATCCAAGCTCACAATCTATCGAATGTGGAAATAGAAAGTGATAACCAAGTGGTGATTTAGTTGTGCGTCTCAGAAACGGTTCCCCCTTGGGAAATTAATGCTGTGATACTGGACATTCGTGCTCTTGCTCTATAGTTTCACCTCTCCTTCACTTGGACATGTCACTCTAACAAGAAGGTGGCGCATTGGGTTGCCAAGACCAAAGCTTCCAACTCTCTACCTGATTTATGGACTGTTCATCTGCCTAGCTCTTTTGTTACTCTTCTCTATTCAGATGTAGCCCAGTTTGGTGATTAATATACTCCCTTTTTCTAATAAAAAAAATATATATATTATTGATTTTATTAATAATGTTGAAGCATATTCTCTTACTTGAATAATAATTGTATCAATAGTTGTTACCAAATTAAATTTTAGTTGAGTCATGGACTCATTGTCTGATAATAATTTTATAATACCAATTTAATCCAACATATAGGAAGGTGCTACCATATTAAACTGTAAATCACCTTCCTCTTGTTAAAAGCCACCACATAAATGTCAAACATCCGTGGAGGCATTCATTTTTGTTATTGAAGATATTTGCATTAAAGCATGCAAGAAAATTGGAGGTAGCATCTCCATTAAAGCAAAGGAAGTGTCCTCCAAACATTTTGGATATGTTTAGATAATGAATTTGAAAAGAAAAATATATTTAACTTATAATGTGACTTGCGTATAATTAGATTAGACTGTACTGTTAGGTCCCATGAGCCTACCATGGAACCCATATCGATGATCCGAACTACTCAATGTGTAAGGCTTGTCAAGTACTTCATCTTTATAAAAAATCACATTGATCGGATATTGATAGCTACATGTTCAGATTACATTTCTATCAACATTCGATATGATTTTTAAAAATAAAACTGTTAACAAAAATGTAATCTGATCAAGTAGCAATTGATATCCGATCAACGTAATTTTTTGCAAAAATTACGTCCTCAATGAGCCCTACACATTGAACAGTTCAAATCATTGATGTGGACTCCATGGTAGGCTCACGAAAGTCTAACAGTACGGTCCAATCTAAACTGAATTGAAGACAAGCCTTACTCTTAACATATATTTCATTCACATTTCTCTTACCTTTTCATTTTTCTTTCCAAATCCTTACCCAAATTTATAATTCAAAAGACAACCTTAGCTCTGCAAACAATTGACGCGTCCATGACTTTAGTAACTCCTAACTTCATGTTGAAGAAGATAAATAAGTAATTTCGCCCTTGATCAACATCAACTGCTTCTTAAGGTTTTTGAATTTGGCTTTATAAAAGCATTTTCAATCTTGCTCCCCTAAATTGTATTAATACTATAATTTATGATGATAAACATAAACACAAAAAGATCAGCTGCTTCATAAGCTTTTCATTGTTGCTCTCATAATTGTATTAATACTATAATTTAACACCATGAACACAAAAAATCAACTTCAACGATATATTATTCATTGTGCTAAATTTATCAAGATGCTCTACATCATACCAAATTTGACAAGATGGAAACCAAATACCAAACTTTAATGTGATCAAAAAATTACCAAAGATTCTCCATCTCCGATTCCCTTTCTCCCACTATCCTAATACAGTCTCAACTATATCATGTGAAAATGTCAAGGCACATAAATCTCAAGGTATGATCTGATAGTTGAGAGTGAATTGAGATAGGAACACAGAAATTTAATAATAGAAGATCCCATGCCGTAAAAAATTAATGCACGATTCTAAACAATGATCCCAATGCCCCAGGCACACATTGGGGGCATTGGGCACTGCCCAGGACTCAGGCAGCAATCATACCTAATGTGTATTTTTCGTTGGGAGTTTCCTAGAAAAAATTGTCATGTCTTCCTGCAATTTCCTATAAGAAAGGCTCAATCTGTCATAATCAAGATTAAAAGAGGATATTTATGCTCGTCGTGTTCTTTATATGGAAATCCTTTCCCAATATTATTCAAGCTGTACATGAAGAAATCATCATGAGAACCATGATTCATAGAACATGAAGCGAAGCGAAGCAACACACAAAGCAAAGACATGTTCAGAGACAAATATCAGAAGTACACTATCATTTTGTCCTGTTTGAATGACCACTATGCATAATATTTAAATGAGACCTAATCTACGAAAACAACCAGACAATAACTGTCACGAAAGCAATCTAAAATAATTCACAAAACTTGGCACTAATTTGTAGTCATGTAAGTTATCTACCTCCCGTTAGCTGCTCTGTGCGTCTGCCCCCTCAACCTCCCTGTAGTCCTCCTCATCACCAATCCACGATAGCCAGTCAAGCGAGAAATATAATTATTGCCAAAATGACCCGACACAGCTGCAGTTCCATCTCGATGCATCTCATCATCTTCCCCATCCCAAGATTCCAACCTGAAAATAGCATCACCCAGATAGTCATCCATGTCATAGTCCCCAGAAGAGGCACTGCGGTAGTTCCTCTCTATTACATAATCACCCATTACAATTGCCCCCGGTGTAGACGATCTAATCGTGCTGATCACGTCTTCTCGTTCTCTCTCACGCTCAAGCCTTTTCCATTTCTCAGCAAGTGAGGGGTCCACTTCCCTTGGACGCGCCCAAGGGTGTTGTGCCCTTACGTGCTTCCTCAGTTGTTTGTAAGTTCCAACAAACGAGCAGTTGTCTTGCATACAGGTTCTCTTCTTGGTATTAAAATACTTGCGTGCCAGTTCAACCACCGTCCAACCTTTCACCTGACACCTGCAAAGCGGACACAAAAGCTCTGATACTTCCTTCTTTTCGTTATTGACACAACCCATCCCAGGACTGAAACCCAAATCATCTGTGAGGCCATGCAATGGTTCTGCCATATGGGTTGAAGTGACTTTAGTATAAGCTTTCTTGTACTGTTCAAGACAGTTGGAATAGCGGTTGCTAGTCGCACACATATATGGACGGCAACCCTTGTTGTAAGAAGAGCAGAGGAGGAGGACGGCATTGTGAGGGTACTCCATACAAACCGAGCAAGTTGTATCCTCCCACTCTTTATTCTTCAGTGCTTTTGAACCTTTCTTCTTTTGACGGACATCTGTCAAAACGTTAAGACATGGAGAATTGGACTTCCGCCGCACCTTGTTTACTTTAGCCATTCACAAGCCAAACCTGACACTCATTCCAAACAAAAATAAAATAAAATAATAAAATAAAATGAAATGTGAAAAATCAAATAATTCTAACAAGCTAATGACTCAAATTTCAAAAAAAATAAATAAAAATGCAAAGGCTTTTTTGGGTTAACAATGTAAGTTATATCAGTAAATTGCTTTCACAAAGAAATCAAACCAGTCGAGTGTATTTTTCACACAATCTAATATTATTCACTTCTCCAATAATATGACAAAGGACTTCCATAAATCATTACCCTCAAGAAAATATGTTAATAGGGAAAAATCCACTTTACCCTCTAGCTGTATGGGCCTAGAGCACTTTACCTCATTGTCTTTTAAAAATAGCCAATTACTACCACAAGGTTTTGGGCTAAAATGTACACCAACTCCATCAACATTAGCCATGAAAAGATGTCTATACCCTTCCTTTCTTCTTCTCTTTTGCATGCACACGCGCACAACTAGAAGAAGATTTGGGGGCTACTAGTGAAGCAACAATTAGCCTCCATTTGGAAAGTGAGTTGGCTTTTTGGCCTTTTTGGCTATTTTAACCTGAGGCTAAAAGGCCTGATTTGGGAAGGGCTTTTGGCTTTTTTGGCTTTTTTTACTTTTTTGTGAGAGAAAGAATGTAATGATTATGGGTTGAATGTGATGTTTTGTCTTATTGGGCTAAAAAACCTATTTTTTTTTTTTGTAGCTATTTTAGCACAAAAAACCTCAAAACCAACTTGCCAAACAAAAAATAAGAGGGTGCTAAAATTAGAAAAAACAAAACAGCTAACAATGTCTAATTTAATAATCATATATGAATCTCTCTCTCTCTCTATATATATATATACATTTACCTATACATGAATTCATAAGCAAATTGTTCATGAATGAAGTGCCAAAAGAAGACCCAGCATAATCAGTACCTATGAAGCGAAGCCTGACAATAACAGTTAGCGTTCACATGTACTAGGGCTAATCACATGCAGTATTATCTCGCACCAGCTCTATCCATCTTTCCAAGTGGGAGAGATTTGTGGCTAGCAGGATTCGTGCTCCACCACATGAAGATTGTATGGTATGTAGAATTCAACTACAACATTTCCTTTTAGATCACCTAAGTTTTCTTCACTTTAGAGAACAATGCTATGAATGTGTTCAAGAGAGAATTGAATATGACTTTGCAATCAACATCAACAAACCTATGACACAACTTCCTCGTCATAGAACAGCATCTTAAATTCAAGTACCATATCCTTGAAACTTGAACATTCTCAAATTAACTCCAGGCTAAGGCAAGATTGATAAGGCTTGGAAACATCCAGCTTCTTTTAAAGTAATAACCACTAAAGATGAAAAGGGCAAAATGTTTGAATAGAGTATGGCCATAAAGCAGATTACTATAAAACCCCACTATAAGCCTGTGCGCATTCCAACTAAAAATATTTGTTCCAAACATGAATGAAAGTGTGTTAAACATGTATATTTGAAACTTAACAATATTGACCTAATTATTTGGGATTGGCTACATGGACCGATTTCCTCTAAGGCTCCACATGGTTCTATTCACACACATATAATCAGTTGAGTTTAAGTTATTCATGTAATTTCTTATCACATCAACCCAAGGTCTTCGAGGTCTTCTATGTTGTTTGTCACCCTCCACGTGGATCAAATTATTCCTCCTTATTGGCGTGTTAATTGGTCTATGATGTGCACATAACCATACCACCTCAAATGGCTTTCTCCCATCTTATCTTCAATTTCCAGCTTCTACCTAATTGATTCAATTCTTAATTTATCTTTTCTTACAACACTACTCGTCTATCTCAACATTCTCATTTAAGCTACACTCATTTCTATATTAAATATATATATATATATATACACCAACTAACATTTAGGACCATTCATGATAACAAGTCTAATAGCAATCCTATAAAAAATTACCTTCAACTGAGTAAATATCCTAAAATCACACCACACACCCTTTCGGTCATACCAACTTTCCTACTTTCGCCTTCCTCATATGTACAAAAATTATATAATAATAATCAGTACAATTTTGAATATACCCATTGTTCTTGTATATTGAATTTCATGAACTTTCTCACTCAATTCATCAATAAGTTTCTTAAAATTCAAAATCTTATGAAACAAATTTGATCAACCAAACTTCTCCTTTATCACACAAGCACTTCCAAACATTAATGAACCTCAATAGGAAATTCATTTGGTTCTATAACATTTCCTACTTTCATCTTCCTCATATGCATATCTATTAATATAAGGTACAACCCTCAATCTTGGTACGGGAGCAGGTTTGGTAAGTGTGTATGTATATATAATTATATATACATGTTAAAAATTAATCCTCCACAACACCTGCATTTTCGTCACAATGAATCATAGGTGTTAATACATAAACTAAGAATAAGATCATTGACTTATGGGTAATGTGAGACAAACAGAATTTATATAAAAGAACTTCATACAAAGTGATATGGCATCTTTACACTCATTCATTGGAAATCAAAGAGCCAATCACTTTGATTCATATTTGAAAATATGCCACTAACACACAACATCCTGTTTCGATTTTCAATACAAAAGTTCTGCATAATTAGCATTTTTCATTAATTTGGTTCTTCTCGTTTCTATTTCTCTTTGTTACTTATTATAGTACAATATACAAGACAGGGACTCAATTTTCATGGAACACGTAAACGCACCATTATTACATACCCAACCCAACTAAAGCTAATCAATTTAACAGAAATAGACCCAATTACTCAACACAAATAAGCAATTAGACAAACCATAAAAAACAAAATTACATTTTAACAGTCAGTTCGGATTGAGTGATTTGGTGAGAAGTGATAAAAAATAAAGTAAATTTCTTCTCATGTTTGGTTTATAAGTCAGTGAGAAATGGTCAGAAACGATGAAAAATCGTAAGAAAGAGAACTTTCTTGTCTTATAAGCTCATCAAAAGTGGTGAGAAACAAACTAATTGAATGTATATTTTTCATAATACCAAGATTAAAATATAAAATAAATTCCCTTCTCTTGTATTTTCCAAAACATACACAGGTCGCTGAATTTAAATTACAGGTACAAAGGCACACTTAAATCAAAAAATTGAGAAGTCATATACATGTATAAAGGAAAATCCCAGGTATAAAGGCAAATCCCAGGTATAAATTGAGAAGTCATTTAAATTTCAATTTTTCAAAATACACAGTGTTCAGTGTGCAGAATGTGAACACAGAGTTCATTCTTGATCATAGGTATAAAGGCAAATCCCAGGTATAAATTGAGAAGTCATTTAAATCTCAAATTTTCAACATACACAGTGTTCAGTGTGCAGAATGTGAACACAGAGTTCATTCTTGATCACAAGATGCATCTCAGACTCTGTGAATTTGTGAAACCTGTGTGACTAAACCTGTTCATACAGACATGAGACTGAATGTGAGCTCCAATGTATGTGTTAGTTGTTTGAGTTTAGAGGTATTATGTGTGCCCATTCACTTACTGTGCTCATTGAGAGGTCCATACATGAGATGCCAAATAAATACATTATTTCGAGATGAAGAAAAGATTTGGAAGGAGGGTATACATGCATTCTAACCACATATACTAACTTCGGGGTTGCTCTAAATCCAAAAGTTGCATGATAACTATCACAAAACGTTGGATAAGATCCTAGAACTTGCCACCAATGATGATGGTAAACACAAAGTGATTCAACTTGGGTTGATGGAAATCAAGGATCGAGTGACAACAATTGAATCGGGTAGCGCGAGTAATGTGCCATGTACTAGTACTGTACCACATTCTACTATTATTGTACCACCTTCCCATACTTCATCGAAAAGTCCGTCTGGTCTCAATACTACAAAAGCAAGCATCACTTGCAAGGTACTCAGTCCTTTGTGTTACTATTTGATGATAAGGTGTCGCAAGATCAACCTTACTATTTTCCTTCTATGGTTGGCACACAAGACAGTATATATGTACCGGTATATGTTGAAAGGACTTAATATATTGCACTTTGTTTATTGCGGGTTTTTATTTTAATGCTTCAAATTACTAATAAAATTGTGTTACTATTTAATGATAAGGTGCTGCACGATCAACCTTACTATTTTCCTTCTATGGTATTTTGTATTTAGTGATTTTTAAAGATTTTTTTCACAAAAATTATACTTTTTAAGTGTATTATTTAGGTGTGTCTAAAAATTAAAAAAATTGCTTAACTATTAAAAAAATTCAGTAAAAACAAAAATACAGAAAATAAGAAAGTTAAAATTTTCTGAAAAGTGTTTTTAGAAATTGAAAACCAAAGCAAAGTGAATAGTCTTCCATTTTTTTATTTTATTTTAATTTTTAATTTAATTTTAAAACATTAAATACCATTTAAAACTATTGGAAGAAATCATCAAGAAATAAGGATATATTGTAGGTGATCAAGTGAAAATAAAATAATAAAATGTAAATTACCAATCATAACGTTAATTAAGATACTCATTTGTAGGTACGCAGCTTACTCACCTAATTATACCCCAAGTCAATCCTCGCTCTATATATATATGACACTAGCAATAAAATTATATATATGTAAACAAATTATTGTTGAGTGTGAATTTGTCATAATTGGACCCAAAGGTTCCAACTAAACTGTGTCAATGAGACTTAGGCTCGTATTTTGGAGAATAACTTATTTAGTATTTAATTTTTTAGTTAAAATATGAGATAAAAAAAAATTTTAATATATTTGGGGGATTTTTTGACTTTTCACAAAAAAAATGTACAAAAGTAAGAGAGAGCAAAATAATTTTGACTTTTTGGTATAACGTTATAGGTTTTTGAACTTTTTTTAATATTTTTTTTTTACTTTTTACTAAAATGTTAGACCTGCCAAACGAGCCTTAGGCTTAGCTTGAGCTTACAGTAAAGCCCCTGCTAGCCTGTCAAAAATTAGGAGAAAATAAGAGATTAAATACAAATAAACTTAAAAAATAGGCTTAAATCACAACGGGCTGTTTGGTGTAGCTGTTAAATATATTATAGATTATAGCTTTAAACAAATTATAGGATTATACTTTAATCAGAACTGTTAATCTGTTTGTTATACTGTTGGATTATAGATTAAGTTGCTGAGTAGTATTTGTTAAATAAGCTGTGAAGTAGTTTTTTCAATTAATTTTTATTTGTTTATTATCACTATTTGTCTACATTTTTCATAAAAAATTAATAATAATATTTTTATAGTCCATTTGGTTTTCTTTTTTAAAAAAATTAAAAAATAAAAAAATAAGAGTATAATTGTGAATTAACATGTCCACAGCAGAAACTTGATAATCAGAAGCAAAGGGGTGAGCAGGCCTTCTTCAGAATTCAACTTTTTTTACTTAAAATAAGTTGTTAAAATTAAAAAATTATTTTGAAAATAAGTTTAAACTAAAACAGGTCCAAAAACGGGTTCGGCTAAACCCTTTGGTTGCCTTGCAAGTCTAGTTGGACCCGTTGATGCCCTTACAATTTGTTACTTTCACCCGTGAGAGGCTGTGGCCTGCCATATTGGCTTGGGAACCCCCACCAGTTACATTGAAGGGGAAAGCTGAAGC